CAGACAGACAGACAGACAGACAGACAGACAGACAGACAGGCAGACAGACAGACAGACAGACAACCAGACAGCCAGACAGACAGACAGACAGACAGACAGACAGACAGACAGACAGACAGACAGACAGACAGACAGACAGACAGACAGATGTATAATGGGTACGTATTTAGGTTAATAGCCACCAATCTACATAAACGCAGCGGAGCGAGCGAATCGTAGATCAGGCACATTGAACGTCTGGTGATTTCCTGTAGCATGGTCAGTGATAATCAAGCCGATTTTGAAAACCTATCAGTCCAACTAACAAGCGTTTCACCGACTGCAATTATTTGTCAATTTTATGTTACATCCTCCGACGGAACATGGAATTTACCACTGACCATGGAAAGAGCACAGAAATAATCACCTGCTAAACTCAAGGTGCTACCTGATTCTGCAACGGGATCGTTGATTCATCAATGAGTTTGGTTGGATGTGCTCACGGCATAAAATTAAACATGAGATGGAAGGCCCCGTTTCAGATATCCAGCGAAATCCATGAAAAGTTTAGTGATGTTCTACGTACTCCAAACTGACTTACAGGAGGATGAACTTCGTCAGTACTTTGCGTTACCCTTGCAACCGAGTGATTTTATGTAGTTTCTTCTCAATAGTGAGTAGTCTAGGAAGTCAGTCCTTTCAATCAGCATTAACAGAGCTCATGCTAACAATAATTGTGGCTAATTTGCTTTGTTGATTCCAGCCGATTGCTGTAGATAGAAGGCCCTCTGGCCAGGGGCATTTGTTTTCCAAGTCTCGACGCTTGATGGATGCCGCAACCGAGGAAGAACATGAAACCGCTTGGCGAAAGCTGCAGCGGGTACTTCAGGTTTGTAGCTTTCTTTTCTGATCAAGTTGATCTCAATAAAGGTACTGAATGCAAGATAAGAGATTATTTTAGGTTACAGTGTATTTGTGTGTTGGGAAATGGGTACTGAGGATGCATGGAAGCAGGTAAACCTCATCAGTCCAATATTTTATCGGCCGTTTATTGAAGCCACCCAAAATTCCAACGTGATTCGTTTAGATGTGCGACAAATCTTTTATAGTCTATCTACAACCTCCCGCAACTATTCTTCCCGCTTCTCTCAGCTTGGCCACATCGTCAAGGAGACATTTCGTGACATCGTCATGGAAGTGACAACCCACCATAAGCCAACGCTAAAGGACTTGTCCAAGAGGGATGAGCTCATGTGTTTCAAGGCAGCATTCGATCAATTCCGGACGCACTGCTTCACAATTCAGCAGGCAAGTTGACCTCGTGATGCACGGAAACAAGGTTGAGCAAAAATACGCATACATTACTAGCCAATGCATTCACCCACGGCGTCACGTAAGGCGAGCCTCAGTCTCAAAATTACTCTTAGTTAAACTTTCAGCAAATGAATTTTCGGGTCGAATGTGGTGCTCGCAGTTCAGTTCAGTTCAGTTTAATTTTACTTTAGATTAGCCTTGTTTATTTCAGTTGGTACCCATTGAGAACTGAGTTCTAACCAGCATAACACAACCAACACGAAAATTTGATGGATTGATATTGGAAGTGACACAAGACTGTCGTGACGAGGGGTTTCCTCGTTCATCAGGGTCTCTGTGTTCAACACTGCCAAGGAACATAGTGAAGCATGATCTGCCAAGCAAATCTGCCTGGAATCGTTATGTTCGTTGCTCAGAAACGCACAATTTCGAGGGGTTCGTTGCTCAAATACGCACAATTTCGAGGAAAATTCACCGAACAAATCGATGTCCATCCGACAGGAAGCTAGGACAATTGGTGCAGTAAAATTCTAGAAAGACAAGCCTAAGGTGGTATCCGTGAGTAAAGAGATCGTGTCAGTTCACATGAATACCTCTGTCTTACCTTGAATGTGTATCGTGGTTTCAATGTTTTGGAACCACTTTCAAATTCTTGTTGACTTAACCTTTGGTTATTCTGTATAGGATGGTACATGTCCCGTTTTTTTGATCAACCAGACCAGCCATTTGTATTTGCAAAACTGTTTCGATTCCACCATAAAACTCTAGAAAGACAAACCTAAGATGGTATCCGTGATTAAAGAGATCGTGTCAATTCACATAAATACCTCTGTCCTACTTTGAACGTGCATCGTGGTTTCAATGTTTTGGAACCACTTTCAAATTCTTGTTGACTTAACCTTTGGTTATTCTGTATAGGATGGTACATGTCCCGTTTTTTTGATCAACCAGACCAGCCATTTGTATTTGCAAAACTGTTTCGATTCCACCTGCAAGTATTTTGATTGAAAGGCCGCGGAAGCCCAGCTATTGAGCCTTAGGACCCATTAGTGTTCGATCCTCCGAACTACCGGAGGGTGTGTGTGTGCTCTGCCACACGTTTTCCGCAGACGAAAAATTCTGCAAGTATTTTCACTATTCGGAATTGATCAAGAACAAACCCGCGAAAACACCTCATCAGTGTTACACCTGTCCGAAATGCATACCATGCCATTGTTGATTCCAAGAATCGTGCAATATTTTTGGAACCCAGAAAACCAATCTGTACAGAAGAAGTACAAAGAAAAGCTCAGGCTTTCCACTGGTTCGTCTGTTTTCATACGATTTGATCTAATGGCGGAGGATAGTCAACCGAAAAGAACCCAGACACTTCCCAGTGCGGATGACCAACTTATATAACTTCGGTGGATTATCAACAAACCATGTTGCCTGACTGATTTCAAAATTCCTAAAACAGTCTCGGCCAGTTTCTCTTCCCTCACAATCACGATTGACAGTCGTTGCGACCAATATCCTATCCTAACATGGACGTTCGTTACCATTTCAAATACCTCACTATTGGCGCAGCAGGATAATGTACATAAACTGGAATACTCATATGGTTGGTGAAACGTTCTAGACAGTTGACGATCAGTTTTGCCTTTCTTCGGGCTCATCGGGTAGGCGCAATTCCCGAGACCCCATCGTCAATGTGATTTAGGTGATCATTCAATGGAAGCAAACCATCACTGACGGTTCACTTGTGTCCCCTTTCGAAACCAACTTTGTTTACGAGCGAAGCGTTTGTCAAAACCTGTCGGGTTCAAGTAGGACATAAAACTGATGGAAACTCGGGACTGCGTTTACCCGCTGAGCCTCAAGACCGACCAAACCGGTCATAGTTTCACTACTCATTTTGTTTTGTAGAGTTCACACATTTTCACTCATCTGCTACATAGCTGAAAAATTTCGCGTATTCTTTGCTAGCATCGTTCGAGTTTATATCAGAATGTCCAGAATTCAGATATCCCGATGATTACTCACCCTCTCAAAAATACCAGTTTAACTGGCGAACCCAATATCCAGTGGACATTCACTGATAATCCCACCCCACGTTTAGCATAATGGCCACTTTCTTGGGAATGCTGAATTTTTTTGTTGATGGACGTTAGGATGAATCTTGTATGAACACACCTTCCTGTTCGTTTGAAAGCATTCTTAGTCAGTATTACAAAACCGTTCCCGACATGTAGGTGCCTCAGTCATTCCTATGCCTTGTGAACCTTCGGTTTTCCTAGCTGAGATTCTGTTATATATCTGTCTTCAGATCCCCGAAGTGGCTCAGCTTACAACTCATTTAATGGAGCTGTGCAAAGCCGGATACGAGGCAGAAACCCTCATCGAATCTGTCCACAGCGTCTGTTCCTAATGAACACCCACACTGTTGCCTAATATTGTCAATACCAGAAGGATTGCAGCTGTTCCGTATCATGTTTCGCCATCGTCGCGAATCATGGGTTTTGTTTTTTCCATCAAGCTAGCCATCCAAAAATCGTTCTGTAAAAACCAAAAGCATTTAGATAAAACCATCGGGATTATCACGCCTTGTGGACTCATCAAGACGCCTCCACATATCTCACCTACCAGCCAACGATAGGTGCACAGGAGGAGCCAAAGCAGGCCAGTCGGTCAACACAGGTAGAACAGTTTTTGTGTCGTTTGTCGACTCAATCACACTGCCCAAATTTCAATCTTTCTCCTGAACACTCGAACCATGCTAGAGACGCATCATCAAACTTAGCCCCATCGAATGTGAGTATGTTCCCATACAGCTCTTTAAAACTTCATCGGATATTTAGATGAGGTCGATCGGAAGGCCTCATTTTGTCTATCAATCTGATTGGTAAGGAGTCTTTTGAAATTATATGTTTTGGCAGTTGTTCCCTTACCTCACTGTCAGCGTGTTGCTGTTGTATCGGAATCACCAACTGGTCGATGTTCAGGCGCGGTACGGTACGGGGCCGACTCCAAGCCACAGGTATCTCGTCCGGAATCATTATGCAGTTACTCGAAAGAAGTTTTGGATACAACGGATGCGCAGTACCGGGGAAACCGATTATCAGATGATAAAGAATAGACGCTTAGCAAATGACCAATAAAACGCCGTGCGACAAAAAGGAACGTTTGGTCGCAGGGTTGTTACACCACAAAATCTGTACAACTATTCTTGAAACGACCCAATACCCATACGAATGCTGAAAAACCTTCAGCATCTCACTACAGGTCTCACCTTCCTGGGTTACATTAGATAGGAAATGAAGTGTGGACTACAGTATACAAACAATCCTACTTTACATTGAATTAGATGATGTATGGAGCTGGGTGGAGGCAGACCACTACATAACACCAGTACGGCATTCGACGTCATTCGCTAAATGGTAACCCATGAAGGAATTGGCAGTAGGCTAGCCAAGAAGCATGGATTCCCCGTCCCGTTAACTTTCGTGTTGCGACTTTATGAGACCAGCAGTTGTTCCGTTTCATTCTAACGTAAGAAATGTGTTTCATCTGGGCAATCCACTGGCACCCTACGGCATTCAAAACATCAGAGGCTGGTATCAAGCCAATACCCCAACTAACACATCAATCAGTTTACTGTGGTTACGCACACAATTTCACGACCGATTAAAGCAGGTTTTCGCAACCAACGGGTGGAACTCTTCAACCGTATCACGTTTTTTGGGCAAATGTCCGGTAAATGCCATTATATTAATCGGCCTTTGCCACTCATGTGCCAGGTGCCAGGAGGAACTCCCCGATAAGCGTTTGTGCCCCAGTGCAAAAGTTACAACGGCCTCGTGCTATTTGAGGGGCTTTTCTGGCATTGATGCATGCAGTCTGATCGTGCCTCCATGGAATTCCTGAACGCAAATCACATTTGTTCGTGCTGTTGTGGCGTGCGTGAACGCTCATCGGCTTTTGCTGGGTTCATCGAACGATTGACTGGCCTGGATTGTTGCCGATTTTCCTGTTCAGATTTTGGTGGAGTCTTAGGGTTTCTGTATGTTTCGACCATCCTAGAGTTTCTCTCAGTAACCGGAACTTCGCGATAGATACGAATACTCTCATTTGCACATTAACTGAGTCTTAACGGGTGAATCCTTCCCCTGGCTGTAGGCTGACTAACGTAAATTATGTCTTCCGCTTTCCACAAAAGGAGACATTAGATTGAGCCCCGAGTGGTTGTGCTACGAAAACGACAGAAGCGAATCACGCACCGCGGTGCAGCCCCCCGCCCTGCCAAGGTTTCATCTTTGCAACTAAAACAATAGAACAACTATCAGGAGTGAGATTTTTGTCTCTAGAGAGCTGGAGATAAAACCGATGATGTAAAAGTAAATACGTCACCATTGCCTGGATGTCGTGGATGGTTGTGTCAGTTTTGATCAGAAACACATAAATTCATTGACAAAGATCAGTAACAAATCGGCGACTGAAAAGTATCTGAGGTGACAACTGAAATGCTCACATAGAGCGGCTCCCAGAGCCGCTCCTGATCGACCAAGTCAGGATAAATATGAATTTATGGCTTGACGCTCAGAGCATCGTGCCACAGAAGTTCTTGTGGACATCAAGAGAAACCACCGCGGCCCGAGACGGATGGTCACACATATGGCATGTACTCATGTAACCGAGAGGAGGTGAACAAACGGAGCACATGAGACCTAATTGGAGGAAATTCTCAAGCAAGTTTACGGAACGAATTTGGCAGAATATCAATAGGATCAGGAGGCGTTCAGCGAAAGTAGTGGGAAATAAGTTAAAGTTGCATAGATCATCGGGACGGGAGAAATGTAAGAACTTTAGTATAAAGAAACTTGATACCTGCTTCAAGGGTTCGAAACTCGGCACAAAAGTAACGGGAGCTTGTCTATGAAGGGGGTGAGAATTAAGTTCCGCACGTATATCAATATAACCAGACAAACTTGAAATCCAAAATACAGCACAGCGTAACAAGTAACACATTTGTATCCCAATTGGCGTAAATGTACGGCATCTAGAATAATAAATGGAAACTTCAAGTTCTTTGCAGATGGTGTGCTCTTCAAATATAAAGTTTTCTTCGGACACCATAAGATCGGCTACAAAGGGCCCATTAGTATTTAAAACACCATAGGCGCCGTTAACATACTGACCTGTGGTATTGATCTCAACTTGGTCAATGTGTCTCCGGTGGCAAGAGGGATCATCCAAATCAAGAATGATGACCATACGTTTGCCAGTTAGTCGTAAATCGCTACCCCTGAAAATTGTAACGTCATCCGTTTTGGTTCAGCCAAGGCTTGTACGCAACGAGCAAGATTTAAATATTAGCACATGACTCTTCCTGTATTACATTAGTAAGTTATCAATTCCACGATCTAATCCCACAAAAAAGTGGGAAAAATAGGAGAAAATAAAGTAATGGCAGGCCACAGTGTTAGGCAAAAAACCTCACCAGGCCCATTCGACTGGGGACGTCGTGGAGCAGTAAATAGATGCCGACATCCAAGAACTTACAAGCATTCCTCGAAGGATTCTGTAGTCAGGCGTGTGCTATAGTCAGCGACGAAAACGCATGGGGCACATTTATGGCCAAATAATTTCCTCAATGCTTGTTGTGTGAAGTCGAAACTTGGAGTCGCATGACAGAATTCTTGAAAAGAATTCTGCATCAGGAATCATTTTTACACTACGATGAACAATTGTGTAGGTGGACGAACTCAGTGCAACAACCCAACGTTGCACCATGACGGCAGATGTTTCAGCTAGGCATTTTGTAGGATGATACAGGAAATTCAAACCATCACGATCAGTAACAGTAATAAAGTTTGATCCGAAAAGATAGTTATTAAGCCGTTTGACAGCCCATTGTAGCGCAAATGCTTCTTGTTGTGTCTGAGAATACTCTCATTCGGCTTCTGAGAGTCATCGAGAAATGCAGAGCACTGGTCTACCACACTGTTTAAGGATTGCTCCTCTTCCAGTGGGAGAAGCACCAGTAATAAAGGTTGAGTGCTGTTTGATGGAAAATGGTTTCAAAACGGCTGACGTTTGAAGCTGAAGAAATGGTATACGCAACGTCTTTTCATTGTTGTAGGACCAAAATTCTTGACTGTAAGATACGACATCAACCAAGCAACTTACATGATTGCCGAAATTAGGAATAAATCGGGAGTAATGCTGAAGTGCTCCGATGAACTGAGAGCAGTTCTTGTAGATAGGTTGGTGATGGCACATTTACTAGGGGATATGTACGGTTTGCATCGGTTTTAAAACCGCCACAATCCTCAATGTAACCAAGACATGCAAAGGATAGAATTGTAAAGGTGCATGTATCAGGATAAATGGTTAATAGAACTCAGAAAATCGCTTTAGTAAAGAGGACAGACGCATATCATGAGTAGCTTTGTCAGCAGCATGCACCATGACACTATCTTGATATGTCTCAGCACCCTCCAAATCTTTTGTAATAGTATTCATCACTTGCTGAAATACAGCTGGTGAGACATTCAGACCAAAGAAAAAGAAAATTGTATCTGAATAAACCGAAAAGTGTGCTGATCACGCTAAGAATACTGGAGACTTCGTGCAATGGTGTTTGAAGATAGGTATTCTTCAGATCGATTTTTGAGAACATATACTCGAACCTGCTAAACGACACAGAACATCTTCGGACCATTCCTTGGTGCATGTACGTTATATTAGCCGCGATTTTAGCGTTATTTGGTAGTCTCCACAAAGACACGAAGTAAAACCATCATTCTTCATTGGTGTAAGTATCGGAGGTGGCCTATTCGATGATTCGACAGGAGTCAGTATTCCTTTCCCACACACTCAATTTTATGCTTGACCATCAGGTTTCTCTAAGCCAAATGAAATAATTTCTCTCTGAAGAAATATCGGATCTCCTGCGACTTCCAGTTTCACCTTGGCTATTTGCATGCCACCTGTAGCCAAAGAACAATTAGAAATCAGTTGTTTGAGTTTGTTCTCATTCACAGAGGTCAGTAAGGTGATACTAGTTCGCACTATGCGCAGAAATTTGAATCCGATGATTGACGGTCCCGCGGTTGAGACAAGAAAATCACAATCGATAGGGATACTGTGAGGCAGTCATACAGGAATCGTGCAACTACCAACTAGTGGTACATCAGGTACAGTGATAACACGAACGTCAACATATGTAGGCACTATCACGACAATGGGGTAGAATGCAGTGACCGTGGATACAGAATGACCGTGGAATAATAGACCCATAGCTTTGTGTCAACAAGAGAATCATGTTCTTGACAAGAGGCAGTTTTAAAGACGTGACGAATTTCGGGATAAAATATATAGAGAAAGGGTAGAGATGTGTTCCGTAATGCTTTCACGCCAGTATTTGGATTGGAAGTTTTGTGGCATACTTTTTGGACTTTGGGACGAGTTGAATGTTTCCCCGTCTCACCTCAGATAAAACACTTCGCCCGTGTGTGAGGGCATGAATATCTGGAATGTTCTCGTCCATAAGATTCACATTTCCCAAATTTTTGAACCACCAAATTCCAGCTACGATTTGTGAAGTGACGCATTGACGAATCTGGGGCACGAAAATTCCTTCAAAGTTTGGATTTGTTGTCTATTTGCATCCTTGTAATCTTCTTCAATTGAGTTTTTCCGCTCTCCTCCTTTGCGATGGATGTCGTGGTGGAATAAGTCCGTTGGCCGGTTCAAGAATTACAAGTGTCAAGCGCGTCTGTATCACTAAGAAGCTGTCCGGTACTTGTTCTCCTTTATCATTTCATTATCTCAGTCACCTTTGCATGTACTTCGGCTTTCCAGGGAAACCATCCGTATTTTGATGCACCGCTAACGGACAAACCACCAGAGAAAGAATCGGTGATATCTCCAGTGTCTAACTGCTGGGACGACCCGAGTGGAGCCTGTAGCCATATCTGGGATAATGCTTCCTCGGAAACTTGGGGAATGCGGAAAATGTACCAAGATACACTTAGAGGCCATGAGGTGGTTCGGCGCGGCCAGTATGGGACTCTGGTGTGACCCGACTGTGTTCTTCGCCAGCCTGCATCAGTCGCTGAATTGGGCCTTGCCGGG